ACTAATAGTAATAGTAGGTAGCTTTTATTAGTAGAAGAGCTAAGAGTTAGAAAGTAGTATAGTATTAAATAAGAGTCTCTCTATTAGCTATAGAGCTAGGTAGATAACTATAGTTATAATACTATTATAGAGGTTAATACTATAGTTTAGAAAATAGTAGTCTAGAAGAGATTATATAAAACTTTATATATAAAGAATACTTCTCTTTATTCTATATCTTTCTTAATACTTCTATATATATCTAAAAAATCTACTAATATATCTACTAAATATAAAGAACTTTCTATACTAAACTCTGCTTCTATACTTATAATAAAAACTCTAGTTTTTATAATAATAATAATAATAATAATACTTAGTATAATAGAAAGTGCTACTTTAGTAGTTCTTACTAGTTACACGCGCAGCGTATTTAACTTTTTAGTCTATTTTAGAGAGTTTTTAATAAAAAACTTATAAAATATAGCTATAAGAATAGAGCTAGAAAAGAGCTTCTATTAAGATAGTATAAGGTAGATAAAGGTAATTACTAGTAATAAGAAATACTTTATAGCTTTATATATTATAAGTATATACTATTTCTTCTAAATAAACCTTTTTTCTAATATTCTAGTAATTATAAAGAAATAGTTTAACTAACTTAGTATATTAGATAAGAAGCTAGCTAAGTTAGTAAATACGCTAGTAATCTAAGATAAGCTTAACTTTATTAAGCTTATAAAAGATACTATTTTTCTTAGCTAGAGAAAGGTAGCGCTTTACTAGCTATAGAAAGTAGTATATATATAGTATAGTATTAGACTATACTAATAGACGCATAATAATAGATAGAATAGATAGTTAGTATACTAGAGAATAGTGTAATATAGCTAATATAGCTAGGCTTATAAGTAATTATATATAAAATATAGATTACTAGTATTTATATAAGTATTATATAGATATTATATAAGTATCTTAGATTATCTTAAAAGCTTTATACTAGTAATAGACTTACTTAGTTTCTTTTTAGTACTACATAATTATATAAAGCTAGTACTAGTACTAGTTAATAGTTTAAATAGCTATTAGTAATATATAATAAATATAAAGTAGTTAACCTATTATAATTACGTGCGTATTAATTATTATAAAGGTAGTATAAGTATAAGTATTATAAGTTATAAATCTAAGCTTATATTAGAGATTTTTAAGTTTACTATTAGGTCTAATATAGTAACGCGTTATTGCGTAATTACGTAATTATATAATTATTTAATTTCTAAAAAAGTACGCTATAGGCTTTGTCTCTTAGGCCTAGAAAGAGCTTATTACTAGTTATATTACTTTACTATCTTACTAAACTTAATTAAGCCTTTTATTATTAACTAATTATTTTTCTTTTAAATATATTACTATTACTATCTCTATAAGTTCTTTTAAAATTATTATTTTAAAAGCTATTATAAAAGCTATTATAAACTACTATATTTATACTATACTAAATACTATTATAAGTACTCTAAAGAGCTACTTTACTAGTATAGAGCTATATACTAAGTTTATTAATATTTCTATTACTTCTATTTTTATTATTTTTATTTTTAATACTTTTATTTCTATTATCTTTATTATTTCTATTATATATATAGCTAGTATAAAACTTTTTATTATTTTTTTTCTTAGCCTTACTTTTAAAAAGCTTATTAGTAAGATATATAAGCTTTTTAGTAGTTATAGTTTCTTACTTATAAGAGAGAGAAACTAGAAAAACTATTTTATTAAAGACTATTCTATTAATAATTTTACTAATAAGATACTACTAATTATCTACTATATTATTATTTATAACTAAGTATATAAAGTAAAAAAAATAATAAATTTACTTCTCTTTTTAGCTTTATAAAAAGCTATACTCTTATAAAAAAATACTTTAGCTAAAATACTTTATAAAAGTAAAAAGAGCTAAGATAGTAAAAATATAGTATTTATAAGTTACTTTATATAGTAAGATACTATTTATTAGATAGTAGCTATAATAAACTACTATAACTCTTATTAAGACTTAAAGAAATAGTTATTATATTATAGTTATTAGAGAATAAATACTATAAGGTCTAGTATAGTATTTTTATTACTACTATATTATCTTACTAAGTAATTAGTATAATATATAGTTCTTAACTACTATATAAACTTAAAAGTATATTAATATATATAGTTATAGTTAAGTATTAGTACTAATAGTAATATATACTAAATATCTTAAAATTTTAAAATCTTTTAGCTATTTTAAGATAACCTAGAAAGCTAGACGTTTTTTAATATCTTTTTACTAAATAGAGTCTATAAAATTAGGTATAAGACACTAAGTAGTATTTTATAAACTAGTTAGAAGTATAAAATAGCTAGGTATTTTAAGCTATACTTAAATTTAAAAATAAAGTATTATATTTTTAGACTAGCTTTACTATATATAACTAGAGTAAATATTTTAGAAGAATAATAACGTTAGTTCTATTATATTATTTATTATTATTAAGTATTCGCAACGTAGCTTGTAGGTCACTGTCTAGTTAGACGAGTTAGATCTCGCCCCGTCATTACATACCGGTCGTCACACCAGGCCTACAAGGCTGCATTTCAGAGAGCCTACTCTATTTAAAGGAAAAAGCAGACACTCTAGAGCCTATATTAGAATAAAGGCTTGCGAAGTTAGTAACCTAACGGCTCCGTAGGCTCCTAGGTGTTCAGTTTTTCCCTTGTGTAGGGTGGACCGGCAGTCGATGAACGGCAAGCTGTAGGCAATCCTCAGCATCGTTGTCTTGTCGCTTTAGTCGAGAGTCACGCCGTTCAGACATCTCAAGTGACACATCCTGGCTACCGCTGTGATAATCTTGGAAGTTTGCTCAAAGTACTCGCCTGCAAGGATCGTAACAGCGCCCGGGGTTGCCTAATAAGAGGCAAAACGCCATTGACGAAGCCACCTGATATGTGATAGGGGAACAGAGCTGCCAGGAGGGTAGCCTGGTTAGTTGTGCGGGGCCACATCACAATAGTTGGATGCGCTGCATGCGCAGCTTCTGGATAACTCACCTTTTCCTATGCCACATACGCGTCCATTCGTGTTTGCTACTTCCCAACCCCCACCGATCGCGATGGAAAAACGGCAGGTAGTCATCAGTTAGCTCCCAGGCAGCGGTGCAACGGGGCTGCGTCGGCCGGGCGCGAGCGCGGGACGCTCCTTCCGCGCGCGCTGGGTCTCGGCTGCTGCCCCTACCGGAATGCGTCCCACCAGAACAACTTCACCGGAATTCTCAAGCACTGAAGGACCTCTATGGAACAGAAAGCGCTAAAGAAGATCGTCTCTCGTGCCTATTTTCGGTATAACTCTATTTCAACGTCGTTTCCACGACGAGAGGAAGCATTAGAGGTTTCTTCGGCATGCCGGAGCTGAAGTGCAGATGACGCATGTGGAAGCTTGAGGGTGTCCGGCTCGGCTGCAAGTAGCCCCCGTGCAGCAAATTGGATTTGTTTATTCACGGGTTGGAGTCTCATCGCCCTACCGAGCCTCCTGGTCCTTGTTTGATTGCCTGCTGCCGTCAGATAAGTGACGTTTGCGGAAGCTGGCTAATGTCCGTCGTCCATCATCCGTCCAAATGAGCTCACCGAGCCTGCCTGAGTATCGATTTCGCTGTTCTTCATGTGTATCCCATGTAGATGGCATGCAAGGTTGCTGCAGCCATTTATCGGACATGAGGGTTGTGGGTGCGGGGTATGACTGGAGCCTTCGCGCAGACGATAAGACACAGTGTGCTGCAGACTGCAAATCACTCCTATGCGCATGATTCTGTCAAAGCGGCGTTGCTCACTCATAAGTATGACGCGTGGCGGACGCCGATGCGTCGCAGCTGTACGTCAAGGCTGCGGCATGACTAGGTGATCCGGCTGGGTACTGCCTGCGAGACTCATAGCTACGACCCATTGGCTATGACTGTGATTGCAGTTGTAACGAGGGCTGCGCGATATCATCCTCCTTGCCTGTTGTCCATAGGTATGCGTTGCGCGGGCATCGAACGGTCAGCAGGGTCCCCACAGTGGTGCGGTCTTTCTTCGACGGTTGCTGTTGGCTCCAGTAGTCAACGTGTCAGTATACTATAGATACCGCTCACAGCGAGAGAATTTGTTCCACAGTGGCTGCATGTAGATGCGAAAAGAAGAACGTGCTTACTGGTATTGTTGAAAAGTTCTTGCCAGTACACAAACCAGAAAATGTTTACCGAACAGACTCCTGGTTGTCGAGACGCCAACCTCAATGAAACTTATGCTCTATATATACATCGAGACAAAGGGAAAGATCGATAGCAAAACCCGTCTTGATGTCCAACAAAGAACCCTTTTACACATTTATACACGGTATCGTATAAGAACGCCAGCGAAGTGCAAAGCAGTTGGTGCGAAGGAAAAGCGATTACGCTAAGCATAAGAATGCTCGACACATTTTACGTGCTAAGTGGCTCTACATGACGAGACATCTGTCTACCAACGACGGTTGATCAGCTTGTGGCGACACCAAGTCTGGATCCTGTGATGGTGGCGGTCGTTCTGACCCTGAGCGCTGGCGATTTGGGCTACCGGTATGGCTTGGACGCCTTCGGTATGCATCCGGGGTCTTGGGATCGAATACAGGTGGTGGAAAAGTGCATGACGACATGAAAGGAGTTCCAGTATCGGTTGTTGAAATCATTGCTGGCACCGGCTCAATGTCCTTGAGGTCAGGTATGGTGTGGCGTCTCAAAAGTGGTAAGGTCGGTGTTGTGTGGAAGCTGCCGCTCTGCCGTATTGGTGTTATGTTGTAGCTTGTTGGTTTCGCTCCAACGCCCTCTGTGAATGATATCGAGCGAGCATAACAATAATAGTGGCGTGTACTACCATCTTGATCTGGAACAGTGCTCTTTTGTGATGCGCGTGATCTTGGCGATTGCGATGTACATGGCAAGCTCGCGGCATCTTTTGTTGCTTCAGCGGGAAGCCTGAGTGGGGTGCACACTTGATCTTTTGCATCGTGGGAGTCGCCTAGTTCCATGATATTGGTCACCAGTGCAGTATCGGATACACTAGATAGTTGGAGACCAAGCATCACTTCATCTGCGCTATGTTGTTCGCGACCAGACGGCGTCGGACTCAACCCGTCTTTGGTAGACTTGGTTATGTGTTGATCCGTGTGATTGATGGAAATCGTGGAGTCGCCAGTGTGGAAACGTTTTGAGTAGTCTTGAATCAAAAGCCATTTGGTATGCTCCCACCATATCCGTGTGTCTGTGAATCCAAAGTCGTGTATCGCCTTCAGACAGAGCTTTAGAAGAGGCGAAGCGTCCACCATCTCGAGTAGCCACTCATCGATGTCGTTCATTTTCTCTACCCAACGCAAATGGCTATGTGTCTGGTGGAACCGACCGACATTATTCGTGTTGAGCAACATCAAATCCCTACGATTGCTCGGGCGGGAGTGAGATTGTTGGAATCTTGCATCTGCTTTGTGTGTCGACATCAGAGCTTGCTCTGCTAGAAAGTCGGATAGTTGCGTGCCACGGCTATCGCCCACTTCATCACCGGAAGCTGTGAGATCCGCTATTATTGAATCGGTGTTAGTATCACCTGTCATGGAATGGGTTGTCAATTGCAGGATTTCCAGGTTGTCTGCACTTCGACTTCGGTCCAGCGTTTCGCTTGGCACAAATCTGTTGTTCAAAACTTCCTCAACGAACCTTGTTTCTCTGCGAGAGTATTTCCACTCTAAGGTGTTGTAACTGGCTTCGGCTTCATCGTATCCTGCTTCTATGAGGCCATGTCGGTCTCTTAGTGAAGACGCGTCAACGAGAGCATCCTCAATATCTTGCGGTAGATTGGCACCTATCTCATTAAGATACTGCCGTAACAGATTGAAAACGTGGCCATCCTTCGCACTCGTCTGTATATGAAGATCGCGGAGTTCCTGGCGCTTCGCGGCTAAGGAGAAGCGCGTGCCCACCAACTTGTCACGGAGATCCCGCAACGATTGCTGCTCGATATCTAGCTTCTCCGATATCGCACTCCGTGGTGCTTCCGGGACAAGAAATGGATGAGGATCGTCTGCTGTGGGCAATGGAGGAGGTGGAGGGACGTTCATCTCGGCGAATGAGATTGGCGGCGGCGGTGGAGGATAGACCATCACGGGTGGAATGCTCGGGCGAGGCTGAGCGGTATCGTCTTGACCATCACTGCGATCGCCATGCACCTCAATGGCTCGAGAACTTGAAGAGATTGGAGCATCATGGCAAACTTGAGATCCATCTGGCGATGCCACTGAACGCGGTGGGCGGACAAGATCAGGCGAATCCAGTGTCCCGGTCCGGTCCTTTGAGGTCGCACTCTCAACGATAGATGCTATGCTCGTCAGATGATCCGAAGTCGCTGGAATGCTGGAGATCAATCTCCACCGGGAGCAAGTAGCTCATACTGACCAGTGGGTTGTTCACACTGCATTCCCGGAGAGACATTAGACGACGATATGCTCGGGGATGAAACTAAACTGAAAGTGATGCATCCCGGACAGCAAAACGCGGCGGCAGCGAACGTATTATCCGTTTGTAATCTCGCCGGCGCCCCGTCACCGTGCACATTCACCGATGCGCATTGATCGGCAAGGAGGATCCCGAGGGTTGCTACTTGCTCCCGAATTGGCGGGTTCGAGCATGTGGCACATGGGCTCCATGCACTGGCTGATAACAGAATAAAAGCAGCGTTCATTTGTGAACGGGGCGGGTGCAGAAGCGTGCTAGTGGCCGTGCTAATCATCCTCGGCACGGGCACATGGGCCATCGCCAGCCTGTGGCAGCCCGGCACTCGCGCCAACCGTCTGCACCTTCACTCTATCGCCATCTGCAGGAGGGTCGCGTCGGCATCATGTCTAATACAATAGAAGACTTCGCGTCTTCGCATGTATCTACTATGCGGCTCTGCGCGATCCAGTCATGTGGCAGTATGTACATAAGCACCTGCAGCGCAGCGTTTCAAGGTTGTATCGCCTGAGTTGTCGCGCGCGGACAATGTGGCACCACTGACGGCATGGCTCAACCACAACAACTAGCACAGGAGTGGAACAGCGAATTTCAGAGATACGTGATTCCGTTTTGGGATAAGAACTATGGACGTTACTATTGGCAGCACTATATTGAAGGTCCGTAGCCGACCCTTACTGGTATGCGTAGAGGCTGACTTGAAATAGGCCAAGGTTGGACATTCTTCGACTGGGCTCCCGTCGGATGGGTTCCCGCGGCGCATGCCGTACCCCCGGCTCAGTCTCAAGTCCAGTTCCAGCAGCCGCATATACGTAGCGACTCTGTCCAAACTGTCACCTCATCCGGAGGTGGGCCTGCCAGTTACGGACGTGATGGGCGAGGCGAAATGGTTTACGCGACCTACAATCCAACAAATCCACTACCTAGCAGCCACTTCGAGACACTGGATCCTTGTCAGGCTCCAATCATCTCTAGAGACCACACATGCTGACCTATCGTAGCCTTTTACGTCAGGGGCAGTGCTTTCTTTGAGGAAGGGAAGGTTAGTAGCAGGCCTATAAGACGAGACAAAGATTATTCACAGTCAATCAGGTCTTTTCGGTTCTCTTCACTGAGCCAGCGGGTACCAACGCCCTGAACGGGCTGAATCCCATGGCCGACTACAATACCAACTTGTCCAGCAATACCAGCCTTTCAAGGGTCAGATTCGGTGAACATGTACATACCCAAGTACGCAGGTTCATCGTCGTTAAACGTAAACGAGAGTTCTGCTTCGCTGTGTACGCGATCCCCTACACGGTCTAGACGGTGACATGACTAATACTCGGCAGTCCAATATTCACTTATTACGGCCAAGCCACTACAAAGCATGGAGTCAGGCCTGATGAGCATGCCATTGCCTATTCGCTAGGACAGCAACCACAGCTTGTACAGGGTGAAGCGCCGCTGCGGAAGGCTCCCATCCCAATCGAAATGGAGGAAAATAACAGGGCGCTGGTCCCGGCCTCCAGAATCTACTTCGCCATCCACCACCCGATTCAGTACAACGTCAAGGTGAAAAATCTCGGCCACGTCCATCCAGATTATATTCCCACTTTCCTTGGCTACTGGAACCAGGAGAACACAGACTCACAGGACGACCCTGATGTGGCACAAAACCCAAACAATACGGACAATTTCTAATCCGCGACTTCCCGAGATATCGATAGCTTCTTTCTCAGGTTTGATCAAGATACGTTTTGATTTTGTATTTCTTACCATAACGATTTCATTGCTATTGTTTCGCGCTTTTTGTTGATGTTTGATTGCACCATGTTTCGGTTAGTCGAGGTCGTTTCCGCTCAAATACGCTGCTTTCGAATAACGTTTTCTTCAGTAATAGCTATCTGCAAATGAAGTTTCCGGTATTCCTCGCTATATCTTCCCACTAGTTCACTCGCGACTGAGGGCGTATCGTTCAGTGTGACCCAGGGTACGCCATGTGATATCTCTATTTGGGCTGCTACATGTTCATGCGAATCAACGATACAAGACCAACCCGGAATCTTCCCGAGTGCATTCATGCCCACCAATACCTCTACCACTGTTCCTTGCCCTTGTACCCGTTTTGTGCATTCGCCAATTGTGTAAGGATTTATTGGGCCTCTTGTATGTTGCTGGGTGCGTTTCATCCATTTGCTGAGATGCGAGCTAGGAGAATGAAAGAAGCTGTCTAGTTTGGAACCGGGTGGAATGCTTTGTACACCTGTAGAGCCCCTTCAATACTTTGCACAAGACCGAAAAAGACCGTAAGGCAAAGCACAGTAACCGCAATCCAGAAAGTATACCACTGAATTCGGTTCCTTCTATCGTACCAGTATTGTGAGATGGAAGTAGGCTTTGGTTGATCGAATCTCTCTTTCAAACTCATCAGTTGATCGCGCCAGTAACTAAATTTTGCAGCACGGCGATCACTCCAGATCATGTTGTTTCGATCGAGCAGTGAAAGGTCCAGGTGTATGACGTCTTCGCCTTGCGACTGTTGGGATTTCAGCCATCTTCGCGACTCAGCGTCCTGTCGCGGGAATAACAAGTCCAACGTTCGGAGCGTCTCGTTGACAAAATTGTGGGGGAATATATCACTGGTCTGATTAGCGATAGAAGCAGAGATCGTACTTGAGAACATGCCTGTCTTGATGTTGCAAAAATGTCGCGTGGTGGAAGATGCAGATCCTCCGCTCGTTGTCGATTAGCCGCAGGTGGTCAGCGAGATTGCTGGTCCATTGGATCTTCAGCCCTGTAAATCGCTGGATATTGAACGCCGTGAACTCTTCCTCGAATACAACATTCCCGGTCTCCGCTGAACTGACGGCGAAGTAATCCGCGAGAACCGTCTTCACGTCGTCTTGCTCATCGCTCCACGGTAGAAAACTTGAACCCCATTTTTGGTACTTCGACGGAGCTCCTACGTCTATCATCAAGAACAAGCGAGCTACTAGCCGAATTGCCCCTTCTGCCATATGGTATTTGTCCTCTTCAAGTCTTGGCTGCGTGACTAGTGACGCGAGAGAGCGCTTGATCGTCTCTTTTGTCCCCCCTTCTTCAAGTTTACGAACGATCGCTATGATATCTCGGTGTTCTCGCACAGTTATATACGCGCCGCCGTCGGGCTCGATAAACTTCCTGCATTCCGTGGTGTAGTGCCGAAAATACGCATCCCAGGGGCAACGATCTCGATCTTCTTTTACTGCTAGTATCGGGGTAGTTCTGACGGGCCAGAACGCTTGCAGAATGTCGCGTTTATCTCGAGTCTGTATGGGGTCTTCATTAGCCTTGCCGGAAAGTGCTATGTTTGAAGTCATGGCTCCGCAAGGGAAGAGTTCTAGAGACGCATCAGTGTACCTAGGTACTCAGTCTGACGGTATACTTGGAATTATAGGTACACAGGTGGGTTTCAGACTATCATCTCTGGGCTGTGTTATAATATGACGGCGTGGCGTCGCCAAGCGCCGAAGTCAGGCCTGATCGTGCGTTGTTAGGGGCGCGTCGCTCACCGGAAGGCGGTGCGGGGTCGATCGAAGTGCATTCAGTCCGCAACTTCTACTACTCCACATCACCCGTGGAATCACTCCCTCACATTGCGCATGATAAACTTGTGCCTATATCAGGCATTAATTCGTTCGTCTACCGAATTCTCGGCACAGTGATGACATATGTTAGTCACAGCCCGGGACGAAGAGCTGTACCGAACAGCTTGCCCAGTCATGGTGTATTATTCACCCATAACGACAACGCGGCCAAGTTTCGTCAACATGCCAGTTTCTATAACACCGCCGGACTACGAAAGTTCAGTTGATATTGATCAACCAGTGGTCGTGGATCTAGACACAAATCCGATATGGAAACGAAGGCAATTACAGCGTTGCTGGGCGGCGAAGGGACAGTGTGCTCAAGATTACAAAGACATGGAGGCCGAACTACTGAAAGAGCTGGATCAATCTCGACGAGAGTCTTTCTGCGAAGTTGGGGTATCGCTCTATATGATAGGAAGAACTCCGCAGAAAGCGAAACCTTTCATCATTGTTGCAAGTGAAGATCAACCATCACGCAAGGAAGCCGTAAAGGCTATCAACAGAAGCGTGCTGTTCAAGAATTCAAATTTCAAGATAGGAGTAACAAGATATCTACCGTCAGGTCCGATTATCCCAGTGGCGGGATCACCCAGCGATGAAGGCTGGAATTCCACATCAGACACCGGAGGATGGGATTCGGATACAGGCAGAATGAAGGCCTTAAATCCGTCTCATCAACAAGGGGTATCCTCTTTATCGGCTTACTATGATCCCAAGCAACGGTTGCGGATAACAGGAATGCCAATATACGTCAAAACCGTGGACTCGCGGATAAGAACGGCGACAGCCAACATTGTATACAATGGCTCCTCTTACGGATACATCACGGCCGCCCATGTCTTTGGTAATTCGAAACAAACCCCTTCCTCAAGCGACGACGGAGAAGATCTCGGTATACCATTTGATAGCGATAGCGAAGATGAAGAGACGTATGCTCATGATATATCATATGCTGGAAATGTGTTCCAAGAATCCATGGGACCAGGAACATCTCAAGCCACAGATACTCAGGATAACAGGCCACATGAGCTCACAGACTCTGGATTCCTCGACGATCCCGCGTCTAGTTTAGTTTTGCTGGGACAATTGGCTGCTGAGAAGGACATCGAGACGTCTTTAGACTACGCCGTCATTGACGTTGACAACACTCAGCTTCTTGGACATATTGCAGATTCCGAGATCTCTAAAAGAATACAGAAGGTGCACATACATACAACTTACTCGAGGCCATCGCCAGCTACAGCATTGACGACTCGCGGTCCCATCAATGGCACACTAATCAATGTGCCCACTCTCATGCGTCTACCGGGCAGCAAATCCTTTCAGCCGGTATATACCTTCTCGTATGAAAGCGCAATCAGACACGGCGATTGTGGATCTCTGGTGCTTGATACGCTGAGCAAGGAGCTCTGCGGTATGGTAGTTGCTGCTTCAGAGCGTCAGCCTCTTGCATACATAGTCTCGGCAAAAGAGTTAATGAATCACATTGCGACAACGGGCTGGCAATTGGTGCATGTGGATGATGATTACATGAGCCCTGGCGAAAGAGAGGGCCAGGCGGCGTACGTCCCGGAAACCCAAAATCAAGCGGTGTTGCCGGAGGTAGATGTGTCTCAAGGGGAATCATCGCTTGAAAGTATGACGCAAGCAAAGTTATCGCCAGAGAACGATCTCCGACCAGATTCATTGTCATACAGCATAGCTCCCCAGCCCGAATGGAATTACCAGTACCAGAGGTATCTTTATCTACTATTCAACACTCAATACCAGAGGTGGTATTGGGATCACCATGACGGTAACAAGTCGCCCCGGGAAGCATGCGCGTTGACTAATGGCCATCAGGACAAAGCTGGGCGTTCTTCGACTGGGTCCCTCTGGAAATTGCGCCCCCTGTGCCACCACAGGTAACAGCACGACTGCAACCCAAGTCTGAAACCTATCAGGCCTATCATAATGCCTCAAACGTACGCTTTGACTCTGCAATCGGGCCATCCGACTATGGCGAAGGTAAGACAGTCTATAACTCTTACCACGAAAAAGAATCCCTCGATCCTTGTAAGTCAGCATTAGACGGTCTACCATAATTCAGCTCTGACGTCTCCAAGCATTCTGCGTCAGAGATGCAAATTTCTTCATTGAAGGAAGGGTATGTAGATCATTCCACAATCAACGCGAATTCTAACAGTGTCAGGTGTTTTCCATGCTGTTCAGCGAAGCGGCGGGTGGAAACGCTGCTGTTGCACAAAAAAACACCAACGTCGTGACAAACTACAACAGCTCTCTTTCGATGGTAAAGTACCGTGAGTATGTACATACGCAAGTGCGGAGATTCATTGTGGTCAAGCACAAAAGGGACTTTTGTTACGCCGTGTAAGTTAATTATTGATCACTATCGTACGCTGCTAATGATAGAAGGCCCATCTTTACCTACCAAGGTCAAGGCACGAAGAAGCAAGGTGTCTCTCCACAGGAGCACGCCATCGCGTTCTCGCATGGGTACACTGCCCAGTTACTACCAGACGAGGCCCCCCTCGTTAAGCATGCTATTGGCATCGTTATGAAAGATGGCGAAAGGCCTCTATCAGCAGCGTCGAGGATCTATTTCGGGATTCACCATCCAATCCAATACAACGTCAAAGTAAAGGACCTTGGCGTTGTACATGAAGACTGGTTGCCAACCTTTATTGGCTATTGGAAAATGGAGAATGTTTCCGACACTGCGCAATCTACCGAAATTACCAATGAGGCTGCTCAAGATGACGATTCCTAATATGGAAATACAGAGAGGTCTTGATGTACATCAATCCGGGTGGTAGAAGGTCTTTTTTTGCTGGGTCCTGTGAGAAGGTAATTGGCCTGCCTCTACTTAAATGACAAACTCATCAACATTAAATCGTTGCCCCTCGATCAATCAAGATGTCGGATTTTGAGATACCACTTTCTTAAGCAAGCTATCTATTCAAAAGGACACATTGAGCGGCTGAAAGTTTGTTGCATCTCACTAGGCTTTACTGTGTAAAACCCTCAAAGCTATCACAATTATACCTACCGTATGCCGAAGCACAATCTCAAAGACCTAGCTGAGCCCAAGACCAGACCGCAGTCTGAGCCAAAGGCGCGCTCTATTCTTTCTCACTGTGTAAAAATGGCGGAGTATGTGGTGTGTGTTTCGTGCGACGATTACTGCGCAGGAGGCCCACTTTTCGCGCGCCGACCGATGCAACCGGGCCTCATGTGACCGCGAACGCCGAGGACTCTAGCGCGTGTCTGCACAACGCGTCATTAGCACCCAGAAGACTCACGACTGTTCAGAGCTGAAGCGTGTATCACTCCGTCGTTTCCAGGTTTCAGCGAACCGAACTTGCCATGACGCTATGGCTCGCTCTCTGAGATACGCCCGTAACGCCGCTCCGGGGTCGTCCGCCGGTTTGGCGTAGCATCACCATTTGCTCGCCAGCACAATCCAGCTACAAACGAGATGGCACTGTTGCTCCCACAGGGTAGTTGGTGTTTCTCGATGCGCGCCCACTGCATACCGTCAGATCGAGTAGGACGGCGCCTCGATATGACCAGCGGCCCAATGTTCGTTAACGCGCAACTGTAGGAGACCAACACAAGGGTAGGCTGGTGGTTGAACCAGATCTTGTTCGATGCAGTTTTACTGACAGGAAGCAGATCGAGGCCACTTTCGAGGCCACTTAGATCTAGATACGTCGAATACCCCTCCATGTCCGTCGCTCGCCAGCCCTCCGCTACGCATCCGCACACGTTTCCTCACCGCCGCCGAGCTCGCGTATACACAACAAAGACATCCGAAGACACCCGTGGCTACATACGATGCCCTCGTCTCGCGGTCGCTGTGATATTGGTCCTGTCCGTACGCCAGCGTCTTGCCACAAGAATAGTCAACTCGCTTGTCCGAGCCCTTCGTCCATGAGTTCTCTTTGGAAATCATTCTTCGAACCAATTAATAGCGAACACTGAGATCGTGGCTGGCGTTATGGATGTCCTTCATCTGTGGGCATATTGCATAATGGGATAGGCAATGCTTCATGCAGTCATGCTGCCCTTTTACGTCTAATTTATGGCTGACTTGACAAGGCAACAGAGTAACATTATCATATAAAGACAGAAGAGGAAATTCCACATACTGGTCCACGATTGAGGAGCCTTCCTGGTACGCTGGTACTCGTCTCATCGACCCCGGCTTCTCATTTTACGGAATTCGCACGCGCGAAGTGTTCGATACATATCTCCAATGATCTCACAACATTTCTTACGAACTCAGTCCTCCAATCCTTAGTCTTATCCGAAACCCCCACGTCAAAGCACCAATTTACAGCTGTGGCATAGTCGTCTCCGCCTTCTCCCCCTACACCGCTAGCCCATTTCATCGCAACTAGCACGTCCAATGCATGCTTGGCGTTGATGTCCGTGGTGGGTAGATGATTCTTGCGCGTAGGCAGGTCTTCCAGTCTACGACCAAAGCAAAGCTCTACGAGCAGGATACCGAGAGCATAGAAATTACGGTCATTCACCAATGACTCGCCGGAGGAGGAGTGGCTTTGATCATGCGACAAATCTTGTCGGATGAAAGGCTCCCCATAAATAACGTCTTGGCTATCATCCTTGCGAGGGTAAAAGATGACGTCTCTCTTGCAAAACGCTGTTCGCAGCCAAGGCGTGGACTGGAGTTGTCCAACTGACGAGGCAAGAAGAAATGCGATCCAGTAGCGCTGCCGCCGGGTAATGGTGCCCTCGAAGTCGTGAGAGAGGATGTGATCAAGCGTAATGGCAATATCCCCATTGATCCCTTCGTCTCGAGCGGTAGGATGAACATGGAAGGTTTGGTCATCATGGCTAATGATGCCCATGCAATCTACGCGATCCGTGTCGCCTAATCGCTGACACAGCTTCATCTTCCGACTGATGAACGAGTCAAGGACAATCTCCGGTGTGTTCGGCTTGAGAGGAGCAAATCCCACCCTCTTACGTCTTACAGTCGATGTTGATGATGATGATGCCCTCGGTATAGGCAAAGCTGCTGGAGTTGGCTGACGAAGGGGCGGCGCTAAAGTCGCAGGCGTCGCTACATTGTGAACGGCCGAGCAACTAGGCATCTCACCGCAACTGATCTTTCTCCAGCGCCATGGAAGGGGCTCATAACACGAGGGGGCGATGAACGTGAGAACTATTTCAAAGTACACTTCGGCAAGTGTTCGGTGCTCCAGTCGCAGATTTGTAGCATGGTGCGACTGGCACGAACACTCCCACGACGTCTTCAGTGCCCTGTAGAGAAGATCGGCCTTTCTCGCTATTTTCCTGAATGTATTATCCATTGCCGAGATTTGCTTGGTGAAGCCGGGTGCAGCATCTTGACATGCGGAGACTTTGTCGCTAGAGCGCACGAGCTTCTCCAAGCGCTCGTTGCATTCTTTCAGCTGTTCAACCAGTTCGTTCCGTTTTCTTTCCCCAAAGCTGAACTTTGTTCGGAACATTTCGTATTCCAAATTTCCCTTCGGCACAGGAATTTTTGAAGACCTTGAAGATGCTTGAAGGCTTGGCGATTTGTTGCGACTTTGTTCCTTCTGTTCTGGCAGCGAGAGCTCGGTTTGAATGCTCCCTTTATCGAAGCGTAACTCCCTACTGAACTCTTTTACCACATCGTTCATTTCGGTAATGATGCTCTGGTACAGATGGTATGACTCGTTAAGCCTTCCCTCTAATCGTTTTTGCAAAGCTGCGTCACCCCATCCTCGTCCGCCCGGGTCTGCTACGAGTCTTGCAACCTCATCCGCATTTTCGGTGAGTGGCACTAGAAGTTCCCGGAGGTTGTTTTTGTAGATGATCTCATGAAACTGAATGTCGCGTTGACATTTCTTATAGTGCTTTCGTATGTGCCGATATAGGTCACCTACTTTCGCCACGTCGCGCCAGTGCTCGATGCCGCTTAGGAGTAGTGGAAAAGCGCCGAGAATAACACCTGCTACTTCTAGTCCGCTCATAGCGTGTTGCGAGTTGTGTGAATAGGAGTCTTTGTGTGGCAAGTTGTAGAGTGAGGGATTTGATCCTGGAAGGCTGAGACGCAAAGAGGGGGTCGTCAGGTTGTATTCCCCGCACCTTTCGCCCCCAGATTACGTCTTGCCAGCTTCCAAGTCCGTGACGTCCGCCCATTACACTACTCAGATGCGTATCATCTTTTGAGACTCTAAGCTGCGCAATTGTTTTGTGCGAAAGATCTACAACAGCGTCAGTTACATGCGCGACACCTTGCGCTAACACCTGTCACTACGCTCGACCACCTCCTGCGATCCGTTCGTTTGCATCTCACCGAAGAATGAGCCATGACGTCTTCGATGTCAGAGCGATCCCGCGCCTGTGTCAGGAAACTTAGAGAAGTAATCTCCGCTTTGGCGAACCCAAGGTCCGCCGATGAGCATGTCAAACAAGTCCAGGTGAACGAGGAATTGGACAGGTTCATTCTTTTCGTTGGGAACATTGGAGGTTTCCATGAGCCTGAATCACCGTTGTCTGTCGATTCACGACTACGTGAGGCAAAAGATGTGCTTGACCATATCTTAGGCCTCTTGGACGACCTGGTTGAAGCTGCGGAAGAGCTTCGCCAGATTGTCTGTGGCGAAAGACAGGGTATGACATGTGGCCCTGGTGAGAACGAGGATGGCAAAGATTTGGGGACTAGCGAGGAATATGAGCTTCGAGACGAGATTAGTGCAACTATCACACGGCTCTTTAGAGTCACAGCCCTCGTACGACAGGCAGCGCCTACCGACCCTTTCGCCAAAGCTCTCAGTCGAAATCGCTATCGCTTCAACGACCAGTTCGATATTGCCCACGTGGGCCAGAGATATCCGAGTCTTGCTACGGATGATTACATCTGGCTTCGTCAACGACTTGGGAAAGCTATCACACACAGGCGACATTATCTAACTTACATGCGAGACCACCGTGATAAATTGGAAGGAGAATCCTACCAAGACGACGAGACAAGGGACGACACAGGAAGATCGCACGTCCCTATTACTGGTCAGCTGCAGGGTCTCGATTTGAAGCAAGATACTATGAGCCGTCCTTCCTACTACACCAAGGCAACTACCATCGTACCCGAACGGCTTGCGCTTAGTTCGTTAGATGCAGAAGAGCCAGACTCAGAAGACGATACTCGTTCATACACAACCATATCTCGCTCGGTCGATGAGAACGATGAAACGTCTACCACCTTTCGTATACCGAGGCTTGAGGACCTGCGTTCTGCTAGTGGAAAGGAAATCGAGTGCCCCTTCTGCTTCCGAATCAAAAGATTCAAGAACGAACGTGTCTGGAGAAAACACGTCTTCTCTGATATCCGTCCTTATGTATGCACGTTCCCCGACTGCGATGCGCCTTATTTCGGAGACATCAACAAATGGTTTCAGCATGAAATGACGTACCATCGAGTGGCCTATAGGTGCTTTCTTTGTCCGGACGCCTTTTATCGCCGAGAGAAAGCCTATGTTGCGCACTTGAAGCGCATGCATTCAGACACCCTCAACCAAGCCGAGAGCGAACAGAATATCACTCTTGCTCGGGAACCGCTCTCCCAAATTCCAGCAATGGACTGCCCTTGCTGCACAGATTGGGTCGACCGTTTGAGAGAACATTCAGGCCTTACAGTTGGACTGTCGCCCAGTGAAGTCTTGACCGTAGATCCAACAGCATTCAAACGCCATCTCGCTAAGCATCTAGAGCATCTCGCACTTTTTGCTATACCGATTAGCGCTGCAGCTGATGATCCAGATAATTCAACAGATGTTAATGAAGCCGATGATACGTATATGGAGTTCAGCGAAAGCTACGACCATGAGGTGTACGCCCCAACAACCCAAAGTACTCAAGTGGTGTTGCCGGCAATGAAGACCTCCCAAGCAGAGTCATCGCCGAAGAGCATTTCCCGAGCCACGCCGTTATCAGCAGAGGCTATGAATCAAAACACATCGCACACCCATTCTCCCCCCAACTGGATATGGGACGAGCGATACCAGGATTACTATTGCGTCACGCTTGATGAGCATCGTGAGTATTGCCACGTTCTAATTATGCTGAAAGCCACCGCAGTTCACTGAATGAAACAGAACACCCGGTATATCACTGGGCTAAACAGCAGGCGCAGGCGGATATCATCGACCTCTCTCGCAGACAGGACTCAGACGGCTCAAAGGTGGCTCAGATGCCTGATCCTGGTATGTCACTGTTCTGAATCTGGTGGCAGAGATCTAGCCTAATCTGTATTTCGTAGCTCCGCAGGATGTACGTGCGATGAAAGACTTCATTGGAGGGACGCCACAGAGTGGCTGGTACGATAACCTGGACTCGAGTAAGCATATTCTGAAGACAAACACTCTCTCCGCTAATTGTGGGACTCTTAGGCTACTGCATTAGAACCGCTGCCGAAGCCTACGATTTTTTTGTAGTTGGCAAAGTCTTTGTTATGCTCTACTCTGAGGCTGCAAGTGAAACTTCACAAGCAACCCTATACGACGATGCATATACCCTCGTTCGATTTGGCGAGCGGGTATACACCAACATACGTCGCTTCGTGGTACTCGAGGTCGGGAACGGTTTTGTCAAGGCTTGGTACGAGCTGGTTCGACATCGCAGGTGCATTCCGACTAACAAGACTCAGCGGTATTGGTACCTATTCCAATCGGAAAACCCACAAAGACAATTACAGATTATCCGAGCATGCAGTCGTTTATCTTCAGGGAACAAACCCGGCTTCCTGTTATCTTGAAGGAGAAAAGGACAGCGGTATGACCAAGGACGCGATAGAGATCATACCGGTCGACTCCTCAATCAGACTCCGAAGCAACTCCCGCATACGTTTCGGGAAGACATACCCGATTGAGAAGAATGTCAAAGTCAAGGAATTTGGCCAGGTACATCCTGAGCATATAGGCAGGCTTCTCCAGTATTGGAAAGATGAAGATAGCTGAAGCGGGAGGAGTAATTCGAAGGAGAGACTGGATTGTTCAAACATAGGGCACAGCCCGGACTATGTATTCGGCACCAAGGTCACGCGCCTCTACTTTGTTAAGGATTAAGACTGGGGCCAAGGCCGTGGCCTTTATCATCCATCACCTTAACAAACGAAGATGCGCGTTGCTGGAGACGCGAGTGGCCTCTATCTCTAATCAATAATGAAATTCATTTCTACGCTCATAGCGCATCTCGTACCAAGCAAGTCTTCTACTACACAGCAAACCCCTTGTTTGCATGCCAAATCAAATCCATCGCATAAACAAACAGCCTATCCTCAAAGAGCGTACGAGATGCATGTAGCCCGTCGATCTCATGTTGAACCCCCATAGCCCGCCGCGCTTCGGGTAAGTTATAAACCCAGTCGGCGAACAAGACGTACTCCCTATGATGGCTCCGCACAGTTCTTCTGCCATTCGTCAGATCCAACACCGGGTCATACCAAGTACAACGCTCGCCTTGATCGTTGAACTGGAAGTGCTGCCTACTGAACACATCTAGTTCATGCACATCTTGTTCAAGGCTACGCAAATTATCCGAGAACGTCTCATAGTCCGAGACCAGTACATTCATCGCAGGAACCAACGTGAACTCCAAGGTGAACTTGAGCTGATGAGCCTCGGTCGATGATGGTATATACTGTGCCTTTGTGCGGAGCGCGGTGAGACTCTTAACCAAAGCTTTGAGAGGAGCAAAGATCTCTTCGTAGCTTAGAACAATGAAGGCGTTGTTGAGGGCTGTGTAACGGTCTACATCCAGATCCTCGTTGAGTTCCAAGGCGATGCGGGCGGCGCGCTGGGTTTTGTGGAAGGTGACGCCGGCTTCTCTATAGCGATCTTCCAATGAGTTGCAAAGATTGAGAAGACTGTCGGCGCGTTCAATGATCTCTTGGATACCGGTGCGGGCTTTCTTGGCCTCCTCGTCGGCTTGCTCTGGAGGTACGGGTTCGCAGTTTGGGCACATATTGGTGATATGACTGATAGGTTGGATTGGTACTCCCTGGTCAGCTCTGGTTGCAGTGGCTGGGTGAAACAATAGGATGAAATTGCATCTTGTGATATAGAGAGCTGCAGCAGCGAGCGCTGTGAAACTGCACCCCTAGAGCTTGCATGTAGTCTGCACAGTGTGTTAAACTTCGTTCACCCACCGTCTCACCAACCCTCGACATCTGTAACCGCCAACATAGTCCAGTACGCGTCCTTCGCAATGTCCTCTTCTTCTACCACGCCATCGACAAAAGCTTCCGTATACGCAGACTTCGACTTCACCACCCCATGCTCAATTTCCAAAAAGGTCTGTACCCACGTCCGAAACATGTTACCCTCGCGGCTGTGCTTAGCGGCCAACGCCTCAGTTCCATCAAGATCGGAGCGCTCGGCGAGCTTCGCTACTTGCTCCTCCACCCATACCAGCCCAGCCTCCAGATTCCGGAGAGGTTTCGCCAGTTGCGACAGCGTGAGTTCACATTCAGCTTCCAGCTCGCGAAGGAGATCGACGTTCTCCGGAGCAGTGCCTCTTGATACTACCCATTTCTGCAATACCGCATATGCAGCGTCGAAGATTTCGTCCCATGGGTGAAAGAACGGCTCTTCAGAGCGCGGGCGGCCGATTTCGAACATTTGGCTGAGCCGTGAACACACATTCTGCTCGACTGCTTTCGAGCTACAAGTCGCGATTGAGCGCCGGAGCGCATACGGAACCTTGTGATAGGCGACTCCAGCGATTCGAAACCGCCTTTCGTATTTGTCCAGTCTGGCGAGCCATGAGAGGGCCCTAGGCTTTGCCCAATCAAGCCAATCTTCGTATACCGCCGCAGGAGCTAGTAGCGCTGTGTTTGCGCTGTCTAATTGCCAGTCGTACGGTAATTTGTTGATCCATGTGTCGATTCGCTTCTTCTGAGATCGTGACAAAAGCTGGCCATACGGTTGTTTTGATGAGATAGCCATGGGTGTTTGGTCGTGTTTCGGGCAGGGCGGTCCCGCTCGGTCCTGTAGTACGGCTCTGGGTATCTTTTTCCTTCTGGATGCCGGTTGCGTAGTCGGCTGATCCGTGTTGATATTGATTGATCGCGCAAATAAGAGGGACTGGTTGAAGAGCGCGGTCGGGCGATGGGGTGAGGTGCTGCAGCCAGTGCTCGTCAGTCGCCTGTTGTTGTGATGGAAACGCACATGGCCGTTTGCACGTTGTGGTGTGTGCGCTAGTCACACTCATAGTGAATGCAGCTTTGGTCATCGCAGCGTTTGTGGAAGTGCGGTTTACCGCGTAAGCCTAAAAGGTCCACCGACGACAAGCTCGCGCTGCTGATTCAAGTCCGATACAAAGGTCCGCCTTGAAGTATACACTACATTTTGCCGCCATGTATCGTTCATATGAAGTACAATGTACACTTCAGGGTGTGGTGTAACCGACTGCGTGAATTAAGTAAAACACGCTTCTTCGTAAGGTTAGCGCTCTTGGATATCGCAAATACTTTGCATACTAAGCCCTCGGGCAATGGAAACCCCGTTCTCTTCAAAGCAGCTCCATGATATGAGAACGTCAAAACCCGAGCTCTGCGCCAGCGTTGCGCAACTTCGATAGGATGGAGAATGAGCGCTCCGTGATTTTGATGACGTCACGCGTTCGCGTGAGCCGCGTCCTCACGTGGCAATCCACATAGCTGAGATGAGCTTTGTTTTAGTCGCTAGTCGGTCTTGTATTCGGCGAAGATGAGGTGACATTCCAAGGTTGTCGCGTCGCGTGTGGGTGAAAGAGGCTGGTAGGTACGGTTTTCCCCTGAGATGGCTGGACTAATGACGTCATCGATGCGACTCATGCACGCGTGACGGGCATGGCAGACCCAGAGCCCTCACACTTGACATGCGCACTACCAGCCTACTGCATTCACGCTGATGTTGTGATATCGAATAGAGCAACGTTGCAAACTTCATTAATCATCAAATATACACCAATAACTGACTACCTAGGTATGTACCCAATCCACCAGTCAAAGATCTATGCAAAACATATACAATAAGCTCAAGAAATATGTACTCATCAGATCGTAAACATACCATCGACTTCCTAGTCCTTACATCAACAGTAGCTGCTTACTGCCCACCAACAGCGATGGTGAACAACGTCGGGCTGCCAGCGAAGATCGTGCCTGCCACATCCTGACCACCATCCGGAACAACATCGTCGTATGGGAAAGCGTACCCGCGCCCATCCTTCTGCATCTGATGCACGATACGCGAGTAGTGGTTGGTGGTCGGGTCCTTGTAGTACTGGCTCGGGTTGCTGCCGTTGGGGAACTGGTTGCCCGGTGTGTTTAGCAAAATGCTACGGTTGAAGGCCGCAGCAAGACGGGGAATCACCGCGTTACGCGCTTGGTTCGATCCAGTTGCAAAGGGCCCGGTGCTGCAAGTGAAGATATCCCTAGCTGACGGAGCAGCAAACTTGCCTGCCTCGCCTAGTTCGAGCTCGTTGCCTTGGACACGTCCCTTGAGGTTGCCGGCTGCGGCCTGGGTGTTGATGGTCATGTCTTCATTGCGGTACTTGTTCCACACTGCCTGGACGTAGCCGTTCCAGTAATCTCCCCAAGCATTCTCATTGCCGACAAGCAGGTTGTTCGGGCTCAGTACGCGCAATGGCTGCCCGTTGGCCTCGTAGATTAGCTTATCCCAAGGTCGACCGTCACGCTGAGCCTGCGCGCGCAGCTCCTCCATGATTCTCCGGAAGCCATCGGCGCCCATGCCAGGTACTGTTTGGGTCTTGCCATCGTTGCTGGTCAAGCTAAGCGCAACGGGGATGCTGACGAAGTCAACGTAGCTGATGTTGGCGAACAGCTGCGCGTCGTTGTATGTGAACTCGCAGAAGGTCCAGTTGATGTTGAAGTTGGGGTCGCTTGGGTTGGTCACGCTGGGCTCAACAACCGCAGGGCCTGGGTTGAGGAGGAAGGTGAGCTTTGCGCCGATGCTGAACCAGATACGACCACCAGCTATCTTGGGGATCCTGACGTTGACAGTGTTACCGGGACGGCCAAGTGGAATGGCGACATCGGCTTGGAGGGGCTGTTGGATATCCTTAGGGGCTACTGGATAGTAGATGGACTGGCCGTCTGCTTGCACAAAGAGAGGGGTGTTGTTTCGCTCCAGGGCAAGGCCGGTGATGTAGCAGTATACATTGTCGGAGTTGGACTTGTTCTGCAGTGCCAGCTGGAGAGTACCAGGCGCGGCCGCAGCAAGTACTTGTTGCTGTTCGTTGTTGGCTTGTGGAGCTGCTGCGCGCTTCTCGTTGCCGGCGTCGGCGGGAGTGGGAGCGGGTGGTGCCGGTGCCGGATTATCCTCCTGCTTGCCCCGATTTTGCCAGCTCTGGCGGCGCTTGTTGACGAAGCTCTTGAACGACTTCATGATAGAGTGGAAGTAAGATTTCGGGTATAGTGATAAAGAAACGCGACGGTAGAGTTAGGTATAATGCGAGTTGCAAGAAAAAGGCAAGGAAAGCAGCGAATATCAACAATGTTGTGATTGCGCAAACCGCGAGTACGTCACACAAGATATATCCTCGTCCAGTTATAGTCAATGCACTGAACGCGCCAATGTCCTAGATTTCAAGGCGTGAATGCAGGGTCCAGCTGATGTCACACATGCGACGAGATTCCAGGGCGATCAAGGCACGTGCAAACCTGTTGCGATCGCCGACTCGCGCGCGGGCCTAACGTCAACAATTTCGCGTTAGCAACCAATCACATTTTCATAAGCGACACCACCTTGTCGCGGCCCGATGGATGAGAAGCCCATTTCCAAACCACGCGTGGCGCGCTCGTGGCATCTGAATCTGACACTTAAAAACGCGGGGTGCAGTGTGCGTGGTATCTTGGGACTGGTATTGGACGGCGCCCGGTGGGCGGGTTAGTGTCGTAAAGGAAGGTATTAATGAGCGGTAAGCGGAAGTACGCGATGCTTTGCGACAGTGTACATTGGAAGAGGCCTGTTTTGCCTACTTTGTATCTGGTCAAACGCCTATCCAACGCCGGAATTGTCTGGGATAATCACCGTATGCCATACCAACATGCTGGAAACGCGTACAAACTGTATGCCACCAAAGTAAACGGTTATCGTACAGTCCGATGTGAGATGCTTTGTACAAAGGTGAGATCGGCAGTTTGATTCACATGCTAGGGCGAAAGACCTCGAGGCATGCCCACGAGCTCGCAGACGAGTGATCTGTAATGCGAACAGCGCAACGGCGCGATGCAACGTCTTGCAGTGTGTCAAGTTGTCGTGAACAAAGTCGCGCATGACTGCCCGTGGCGATTATTCGACGTCCTGAGACGGGGATCAGAACGGTGCTCCGTTTCCAAAAGACATGCCAGTATAGTTGTTGTAGCTATCCTCCCCCCAAATACCTCCCGCCATATCGAAGAATTGGCTCATGTCGAAGTCGGCACCCCTCATAAGCGCGAAGGGGTCGTTGCTAACCTCGGTCACGGGGACGTGGTTCATGTCTATGCCGAAGTCTTCCATATAGTTGGTGCCTGCTAGCGTATTGTATTGATCTTCCGCGTGTCGTGTCGGACACGTTGTTGGTGCGCTGGTGATGGGACATGAGCTTCCGCTCACACTCCGCTCAACCGAGTCGCTGGGCGTAGATCCTGGTGGCGTCTGGCTAGACCGCTCCGGTCGGATTTTGCGAATGTACCAATTCTTTGTCAGTTCATTAATCATTCGCATAGCGTGCCAGAAGTCGGGGTGGGGTCGCTTTGTTTTATCGAACGTCGATAGAGTCTGCATCCGATAGCAAAGTGATTCAAGACAGAGATCTAGGCGCACTCTTTCTTGAGCAGCTTGAGTATCCCACCCGATGGCGGCATGGTCTTCACTGGGTATGCATAGCTTGGCGACCGTCATGATGACTGGTGGTAATCGCATCCATTCCGAGAACGATATGAGGTGATATTCGTGGGCTGGAAATGAAAGCAAAGTATCCAGAAAGCGCTTGCTGGCTTCAAGAGCGGAGAGTAGGCTGTTGATCTGTGATGAACGTACCGATGCCGGTAACTCCGAAGGAGACGGCCGAAGGGCTACGCTGTGCAGTTGCATCTTGGCGTATGAGAAGGAGAGTTCGAGTAGTCGTTGAGAGGGGACACCGTTGCACTCCCGTTTCCATGTATCGAGTTGTACATCTATGAATCGAACGTGCATCAACGCTCGCCCATCAGACATTGGCAGTTGCGAAGTGTCAGCTGTGAACAACTCATCTTGTACTTGATCATCAATCTGTCGCAGAGATATCAAAAGGCTAATGGTCTCATCCGTTTCGTACTCGCGATCCTGCTTCAAGTTTTGCGCCCACTCGGTCATGGTTGAAGTATGCTTGAGCAGATTCGGCTTCTGTAAACCCGCCGCAACCCTGCTAGAGTCAGCATGCAAAGTCATAATCTGGTGACGAGAGCACATACATGGACGAAAGGTAATAACAGCCTAGGAATGCACGGCGTCTTTCGCGCAGTTCCTCGGCTGGTGGTGGTGGAGCTGGAGGTCGCTTTGGCAACATTGGAGAGATCAAAGGCTGAAAGTCTTGGTGTAGGCCGATGTCTAGAGCCAAGCCTGTGACGAGATTATGCAAAAAGAAGATTTGCTGTGTTTTGTGGCTGAAGACAAAATGGTACCTGCGCGGATTAGTAGATTTTCGGCAATGGTGGGTACCATCCTACCATGAGAGATAGACCAGTACGCTTTGAACTAGGCCCAATGTCCTTCGGGGTTGCAAGATTGTTCTATTGGCGAGCTCCTGACGAAAGATACCATCAAGTGCCATCTGGCGTGTGTGATGTTCCCATGATGCCACCAAAAATATCGCGAGTGAAAGCATGGGCCTGTGCTCATAGAGCTGTCTTGCAGTGACTTGGGGCGGTATCATAACAAAAGGGAATGTGGCCGACATGTTTCGATACTCTTTCAGTAGTGTGTCTGCTTCGCCGGATGTGAGCAATTGCTGGACAACCTCATGCTCGATAGGAGCTTCGGGTCGTTTCGAAGTCCTAAAGATGCCCTCACGAGCGTTAGGAACATCTTCACGGTCGTCAAATCTGTGTATGTTGCGGATTTCCTCAAGATACTGTCGATCGACTTCGGCACTCTCTGACGCATCGTCGGTACTTTGGTCGGGCGGCACGGCGTTCGGTTCGTAGGCTGGTGTCGGCATCCAGCTACCCGGCGCCGTGTTGACTACTCCCCGATTCCGCCAACGCTCCGCTGCAATTTCTCTAGGGATTGGCTGCGATACATTTGCTGAGTCTGTTGTGACTTCACTGTCAGCCGCATGGACGAGCTTGGCTACGAGGCCATCGATCTTTTGCTCGACCTGCGCGATTCGACTACGAATAGCATGAGTTGAGATCGAAGTAGACGGGTAGCGACTTACGAAGGTGCACGCAGCTTCCTCGCTCTACGCGGCGCTTCGGCCCAGACACATTCCTTGCCGGCTGAGAAACATCTGGCGGATGGTCAGCGTCTTTGTAAAGACATGAAGATGTGGAGCCACGGCTAAAGTATCACGCTCCCATTGGCTGGCTTACCTCTGACATAGTCCAGATTGGGCGCTCGGCAAACATCGCGTCTTCAGGTTCCGGCAGCGTTGGCACGCCTGTGTTGTTCGCGGTACACCCGCTCTCGCGGACGGTTGCTCAGTTTCCTCCATCCGATGCGATGGCGCAGGATCGCTGCAGGTGTGAGGAGAGGGCAAGAGCCAGACCCAGCACGGGACGGAGGCACGATCAACATCCGTCCCGGGTCGCCTAAATTACTCATCCACGCTAAACTCCTGGGGTCAACTAGGTACCAGCATGAAATGAACACTGCAAACATACGACATTCCAAAGACACATTTGTATCGATTGAGTGCTCAACGAAACATTGAACCCTTACGCTTCAGTTTTATAAACTTCCTCTTCTGCTCTAACAATTCCCAGGCTTCGTCGTTTGGAACCTCGGGAACCATCAAACCACGAGGGACTTCGCTCATTGTGTACAACTTGCAAGCGCACTCAGTTAATCTAGAACTGTAGCTTTGACGCCAATCTCCAACCGTACCAAAGCGTTGCACCAATCGAAATGAGGTTCAGATGTATGCTCATCGCATGAGCTCTAGAAAATGCCCGATTGAGAACCATCATGTCATCGCTCATGGCCCCATTGAGCTGCGCTTTGCCATCGCGAGTCGCTTGTCTTTCCATCAGCTATCAACGAATTCGCCAAGATCCGTGGATACTCACCTTGGTGAACCCTTTCCACCATCAGGTCCTTTGTCCTCGGACCAAATACAACCAAATTGAACCCAGCAGTAACACCAGCGACTGCGAAAGCGATCCAGTCACTCTTCTCTGCAAGCAACGAAAGTGGCCCACGAGGCGGAAATGTCGCAGCGACGATGAGTAAAAGAATCGACTGGCTTTGGAAGTATATTGGAAAGACACGCTTCTGCAAAGTCGTAAACGCTGATCTGGGAAGAGCTTGGTAGGAGACTTTCGTCATTACGAAAGTCTGGTACAGCTCGGTTCCGAGTAATGTGGAGTAGGCCAGGAGGTGAACGGGCGGGAGAAGGGCCGCAGCATAGTTAGGAAAGGTAGACATAGCAATGTCAATTCGATTCAGAGGATAGATTGCGGTATAGATCAAGAGCCGCTCTGAGATATCGATACCCATGCGGCATCAGCAAATCTTTGACTTTCGCTGCCGCCTAGCATAGCGGATCTGATCGGGAGTCGCATGGACGTTCGCATCCGTCCCGGCGAGGCTCTAATGCATTCATTTTCCGCATCCCAAAGACCTTCCGCATCACCAGCTACAGCACGCGAAACGAGTAGATAGAGTCGCGAAATGCGTCGTAGGCGTGTCCTGCTCATGACGGCATGAAGCATCTCGGGCTGCATTGCCGCGAGGTACCTGACGATTAGCGCCGCACCCCGCAACTCCTTTACCATCCATCCCAACTCCCCGAGGATCTGCCACCACCACTCGCTTTCTGGCCATGCTTCCGCGCATCACGAGCGCATGTCGAGCTGCTTCAGGCAAAGTCAAGATGCAATATGGCAACCCAAATCTGGAAGATCTATGCATTCCATTCCGCCGGCGCAATGGCTGAGCGCGGTATAGCTGTCGCTGTCACGGCTAACGACGTACATATGTACTGGATGAAGCTCACACTCTAGGATTCATAGTATCATCCCATTAGACAATCGAACGCCTTCAATATGCGCGCAACACTCCTCTCTCTCCTCCCTCTCGCTCTCGCAGCACCAGTCATACTCCACCGACAAGCCACGAAGCCCATATACTGGCTCCTAGCCGGCGACTCAACCACAGCCACCAACGGAGGCTGGGGCGACGCGTTCCTCTCTACAACCGTCGCGAGCAGCTCCTCGGGGCATAACTACGGCCACAGCGGCGCGACAACCAAATCGTTCCGAGCTGGCGGCGACTGGGCAAACGTAACCAGAGACATTGGCACGTACAAGGAGGACTACAGGGTTTATGTGACGATTCAGGTACTATACCACACGTATCAGGGATCGGGATAGCATGACTAATTGTCACCAGTTCGGCCACAACGACCAAAAGCCCACCTCTGGCGTCTCCCTAACAGACTACCGCACCAACCTCGCAACCTTCGCCTCCGAAGTCATAGAAGCAGGCGCAATGCCCATCCTCCTCTCTCCGCTCACGCGTCGCACATTCAACACAACCACGAACCGCGTTATTGAGAACCTGTCGAACGAGACGGCCATCACACTAGACGTCGCCGAGGCCAACGACTTGCACGTCATAGATTTGAACAAAGCATCGACCGCGTATGTGAATGCGATTGGACAAAAGGGCGCGGACACGTATAACTGGGGTGAGAACGGCACAACGGGGAATGATCGCACACATTTGAATCCGTGGGGTGCGGTAGTGTTTGCAAGGATGGTGAGTGATTTGTTGGTGGAGAAGTATGGGGAGGAGTTTGGCGAGTGGACGGTGGGGAATGAGACGTTGAGTGCGTTGATCAAGGATGGAAAGCTGGCTTAGGTGAGTGTTGGTCAGATACTGGCTACCAAGGAAGAATTCGACCACGTTCAGGCTTCGTCAAGAGAATAACATCAAACGCATGATTTCAAAACTAGACATCGCTACAAAGCCTCACAGTGCTCGTGCTACAGTTATCATTCAACCATATCCCTGCCCTTCATACCCACCACTAGCCCACCTCCTTCCCTGCGCCTCGCCCTGACCCTGCACATTATTGAACGTGGTCGTACTTGAGTTCGGCGTATCCCAAGGTGCATACTGGCTACCTGTATTCGTGTACTGACTACTCGGCCTCGAAGCCGGAGATGAAGCTGCACTTGTACGCGAAAAAGGCATGTATGGTTGCTGCGTTGGAGGCAGCGGTGGCGATGTATACGGCAGGTACTGTTGGTGAGGGGGCTGCGGTGCCTGCGATGGACCTGGATACAACCAAGGTTGTGCCTGATTGAACTGCTGTGATTGCCGGTGTGGCAGTGGTGGAGGGTATGACTGGTTCACAGCACCAGTGTTGTTGCCCTGTGGTGCAATGGGAGGTGATCCATACTGTGGTGGAGACGCGATATGCTGACCTTGAGCAGCGTAGTCGTGTTCGGATATCGATCGGTCTAGCGGTGGTGTGGGCTTTGAGTAGCTTGGCTGCCGCTGCTGGTGGTATCGATTGACTGCTTCCAGGTTTGCGACTGACTTGCGATTGACAGCCTTGCTGTTCCTCTTGAGTCCGTGGTCTGCACTCCCCTTCCTCAACGTCGTGCTGTCAGGCTGCGGCACGCTAGCTGTGGATCCAATCGAGCTGTATCTCTGTGATGGGAGGGAAGAGGCCGAGTCTTGTCGTTGTCGGTCGTCAATGGACGATCGCATACCTTCGGAGGATAACGGTGGAGATTGAAGTTTGCCCTGAGCGGGTATAGGGGGTGAATGGCCAGCGTACGATGATACTGGGACCTCTGCAGCCGGCTGAGCATGTGGAACCGTTACAGCCTCTGCCCTTCCCGGTCTGAGGTGAAAAGGCAGACTCCAGGGCTCCTGAGAGTGCTGCCCATGTGGTGGTGCAACTTCCTTTTCATCGCTGTGTATGCTGGATTTGCGAACCATTTGCGAGGGCAATGGTGGTACCGGGCGACGGCGGTTTATCCCAACGCTGAGGCTTGTTGGAATCTCCTGGTGCTTCACGGTCCGGAACCGCTTTACAGTTGGGTTGCGTTTGCAGCGGTCCTGTGCCTCTCTCAACAGTTTTCGTATCTTGTCCTCATCGGTTAACTCTTCTTCAAGTTCGACATCAGTGACACTGCCTGCGTCAGTCTGTCCAGCCACGGAGACATTGTCACCTTCCCATTCGTCATCATCAGTCTCTTCCTCCTCTTCATCATCGGAATCTTCTTCCTCCTCCTCCTCATCATCATCATCATCCAGATCGGAATTTTCATCCTCTTCTTCTGACGTATCAAGTGCTTCGGTTGCAGATCCTCGATTTGGATGTCGTGCGTAGACATTGGCGCCAGCCTTGAGTAAAGCGTCGACACAAGCTGATTGACGATAAGCGCAAGCTTCAACGAACGCTTCATCCAAGAGGTGATCCGGAGGTTTCATCGCGAGAAACTTGTCCAGAATAGTCTTGTTGCCTCGAATGGCAGCTGCGGAGATAGCACTTCGGTACATTCCGCCTTGAATCCGAAAGTCTGCTCCAGCATCAAGTAGCTTGACAACCACCTCCATACGGTTGAAGTATGAGGCGGCTACGAGAGCGGTATGATATTTGCCATCGTGATGATTAACGAGTTCGATGGCTCGATCGAGAAGTTCCTCAATGATGGCCATATCGGCTTTCATCGCTGCTGTTTGTAGGGCGTCGCCATACTTCCCCCCCTTTGCATGTACATCGGCCCCATGTTCTATCAGCAACCGCATAATTTCCAAGTCGTTCCCGTAAGCTGCAGCAGCTACAGTGGAGCCAAGTATGCCTCCCAGCGCTGAAGCATTGGCACCGTTGTCGAGTAAGCGCTGCACGACAGGTAAGACGCCAGACTGAGCGGCAGCCAGGATGGGGAAGCCATGTAGGCCACCACTAGCGTTCACATCGGCGTGATGTTTGATGAGAAGCTTTACAAGCTTGTCGAACCCGCCGGCAGCGGCTGCAGAGAGTGCACCGCCAAACTTTCCATTCGCTGGCCGGATGTTGACAGCCGCACCATGCTGTAACAGCTCTTTGACGATGTCGAATGAGCCAGCAGCACAAGCCGCCTGTAGAGCCGAACCATACTCGCCGGATATGGGCTCCGTGATGCTAATGTCGGCACCGGCTTTCAGTAAGACTTGGACACTTTCCATATCCTCGGCCCATGCAGCAGCTTGCAGCGGCGTTCCATATGGCCCACCAACAGCGTTGACATCCGCGCCAGCTTGGAGCAATACCTCGCAACATTCCTCATCGCCTTCGGCCCTGTGTAGAAATTAGTCTCTTTGAAGATGATCAGGGCTGCTTGAACTTACGCTGCAGCGTGGAGTGCTGTACCGTACTTGTCGCTTGAAATGTGCACGTCGGCGTTGTGAGAGATGAGGAATCTCAGCCCATCTGCATCGCATGAGTCGGCGCAGTTGATCAAAGCTGTTGTACCTCTAGCGCAGGCTGCATTG